TTCTTCACTTCTTGTTAGCTAACTATAATTCCTTGAAAAAGATTATATTAGCTGAACTTGGTCCTATTATATAAAATAAGTTACATTTGATTAGAAATCATTGTAGAAAGAGTTCGGGTTAAAGCTATTATAAAGGTTTTAGAGCCGTTGAGGTGATGATTCTGTTGACAGTCTAAAAACGAATATTCATTGACCACGAGCTGCTAATAATTATGACCCATTTTTCTACAGTACTTTTTTGTGATATATTATATAGCCTAATTCGGTTGGTTGATGACTTTTTTTCCATAATGATGGTATTTGGTGCGTGAACACTACTGTTTTCAAGATTCTTATAGAGCCAAAACGTGACACCAAACTCTCAGTAGGCAGAGAAAGTTTCAACAACATGAAGATCAGAATAATAACAAGAAGAAAGTTGACCCAGGCGGAGCAAGGTGGGGAATCCATGGCCGTTCCAGTGCCTAAGACATGATAGAGAAAAAGGAAGTTATCCATTTATTTAATGCCCTGTTTGATAAGAAGGATGAAAAATAGAAATGATTAAAAGTAGGATGTATACACTTTCTATCCTTCAAAGATGAAAAGTAAGAATGATATATTTTCTTCCTTTGTATTTGGTTAATGGATGAAAAATAAAAATGACTAATTTTTTTTTGTGCCGGCTAAGATTGAGGGTGATATTCAAGTCATGTCGTGTCAGATTTGTGTTGAATCATAAAATTATGAGAATTTTATATTTTTTGTTCGTGGGTTAGGTCATTTTTCAATTCGTGTCGAGTTATAATTAAGTTTATAACATAAAATTTGTGTCGAGTTCAAGTAGTGTCATCGTGTTGAGTTGAAAATTTTCAACCTTAAAATAAAAAAAATATTTTTTAATTTAAAATTTATTTATATATATATATATATATATATATATATATATATATACACATTTTTTCATTATATTTTTATATGAAATTAATGTATACATAATATATAAACAAATAAGATACATATCAACACAAATAATTAACTTTCTATCCACTTTTTGTCCGATTTTAAAGGAATTGATTTTAGTGAGTTGGAAGAAAAGTTAATTCATCCACTTTTTCATCCTTCCTTACCAAACATAATGTTTTATTTATCCCTCAAACTTTACATCATTTCATTTTTTTCATTATACCAAACGGAACATAAGAGTATAATTTTCAATACAAAATGGATCAAACATTAAGTTAATAGGTTAAGATTGATTATGTCTTAATACGAATTTAAAATAATACGTTCTTCTAACTCAGAGAATAAACGAGTCAATTTAATGTCCGACATGAATAACCCAATTTTGAATTCACAAAGACAATTTGCTTGTATAATATGAGAAAAAAAAATGCCAATGATTTTCATGTGGTATTTCATGACACTCGTATCATATAAATCTTTGGAGAAGTACAAAATTATTTACTTGATTTTGTAAGCATGTGGCCTGAATGAAACTTTAGTTTTGTAAAATTATGAATAGTTTGTTTTATTGAGAGAAAGGAATCTTGGTTGTAAGGTTTTTAGTTTAAAAATATTATCTGGACATAATTTACTGATTAAACTAATTACTATCATTCTATCGGTAGTGAGTCTAAATTAATTTTAAAGTTCACTGTCAATACAATTATAAATTAATAAATTAAATTTAAACAATGTTACTCTAGTTTATGGTTTATGCATGTCAAGTTGAACAAATATTAAAAAAAAAAAAACCTTGGATTGGTTTTTTTTTCATTCCCAAGGCCTAATTCTCCATTTTTATCCTGAAATAATGAATTGAATTCGTATAGGTATTTTGGATATTTTTATTGAAATAACTTTTTTGGCTATATTTTTTGTCACTCCACCCATTTCATAAGTATTCGACCTGGTTTAACAACAATTACTCAATATTTAGGGATTCTTTATTCGAACTCATATATGTTTCTGTGAGTCTTATTATAATTGGTTTGTTTGAAAATATTCGTGTCATTACTTGTCGATTTGCTTTAATTTGTCTAGTTGTGATCAAAGTAAGTTTAAATGCTTGAAAAGCATATTGACCGAAACAAATATGACTACCACGATAAGGGATCTTCCAAAAATGACAGCAGTATCCTAGTAAAATAATCCAAATGGATATTAAAAAAATAAAACTTTGAACACACTTCATTTTATATTTAACTATATAACAAGAGGCCTGGGTATGTAAAATACAGGGGTTGCTTGTTAGAGGGGGCAAAAACATAAATAAAAAACTTAATCAATTGATATTAAAAAAATTTCCAAACCTCCATTCGTTTTAAATAGCAGAGGTATTGTATTTGTTCAATAAACACAAGTTAAGACATTCCGTATCTGTTTTATTCAATATCGAAATGAACATTCCTTTCAAAATTAGGGGCAAATAAACCACTAACTTACCAGAGGGAGAACAAAAAAAAAGGGCCATTGTACATTTTTGAAAACTTTGGGGGGCAATGAAACAAATTGGACATTATAATATTTTATTTAAACTATGTATTGAAGTCTTCCCAAGGAGTCGCACATTAAAGAGTAGCTTCGCCCCTGCCGTTTGTTATGATAGACAAACAAAGGGTCATGAACAGTCATTCGTGATTAAAATTGAGCTTTGGCATATTGTCCTTGTCCTACAAGTTGTATATGGTGCGTAACCTTTAAGATAGTCGATTCGTATCGTGTTTTGTTGAATTTATGTCGATTTATTTGTTCAACATGTTTAACAAGATTATTCTTTCACTATCCAAACCTACAAAGATTAAATTCAAATTATTTGATTTTATATTGATTTTGTATTGAATTCACCACTAGTTGTGTATAGAAGAATTACAAGGACATACTACCAAATATGGTGGTTTGGTTGTCTCTATTTGTTAGAATAAGAACACAATTCATTTCCCATGTTTGGTAAGTGATACAAATATATACAACATCCACAAATTAATCACAAATATCATCAGATATTTGTTATGAAATTACTTAAACCCACCCACCCCATGGATTTATTGAAACCTTTTACATGGGTTTTACTTGTTGGCTTATTATAGGTCGGGATTTAGTTCATAGGCTTGAAATCTACAAACAAATAAGGAATAAGGTGATGCATTACACTATTTTTAACAAAATCCATTTTATAAATCCCACCTAAACTCGTGAACCAAACATGCACATTAAGTGTCTCGTTCTCTAGATTAAATTGTTGGGTTAAGAATTCAGGATCAGAATCCACCTTTTGCAGTATATGTTGGGATTTTTCACGATTTGAATCCACTAACAAACACACACAATCGAAGAACAAATCAAGAATATAAAGCAATAAGAAACAAGAAAGAACAAGACACAGATTTTACGTGGTTCGACAATTTGCCTACGTCCACGAAGCTGCAGGGATTTCACTATTGAGAGAGTTGAATACAGAGAGCGGCTGTACCATACACAATTAACCCTAATCACCAAAACAACAGGGTTTATATGTCCTACGCACTGGGCTGTATAACGGGCCCAAAAAAATTTTCCTCGGGGGCGTTGCCCCCGAACCCCCACGAGACTTGTCCATGAGCGCTACAGCTTGGGCCTATCGGCCCAAGCCTTCGCTCCATGGACTAAACCTCAGAAAATTTTCCATTAAAAACCACACAACATTATTTCGGGTCGGGTCATCATCCGGATCACATATACAAACTAGACTCCATAAAAAATAAACCAACAGTATAGTGTGCAATCCATCTTGCTCATTGGGGGAAAAAAACACGGGGAATGCCCTTGTGTCGTTCCCTCTTTGATAATTCGAAATCGAGGGTTTTGAAATCATTGAATGATCCAAAAAGGTAACTTTCGTAGTTTTTTTTTAAATTTTTTTTTTTTTTTGGAGAGGAGGGGAAAGAGACTTGAACTTTTGACTTTAAGAAGACAAAATCTTCACAAGACAAAAAATATCATTGGACCAAAGGTTTATTGGTAACTTTTGTAATTTGCCTTCATTACTTTTTCATATAATTTCACCCAATGGTAGATTATCCACTATATATTCATGTAAGATTTATTATTTATATGTAGACTCCTCGCCTGTATACGGTTGATGATCTATCATTGAATGAAATTGAGTAAAAGTTTAATAGTCTAAATCCCATTCAAAACAACAAATTTGTAAAACTGATTTCCAGCAAAAATGAGTTCTAAAATTACAAGCAAATAGACTCGATTACCAATTACAAGTAGACCTTAGTCTAGATATATTTATATAATCAATATTAAAACACAACATTATGAGAAATCAGGCGAAACAACTCCTTTGTTTCCCTCTCCCTTGGTCGATGATGAAAACCCCTCCAATTGAAGCACAAATTTGAGATCTTACATCTCACATCTCAGGAACTTCGATTGAAATTTGAAACTCTCACCTGGGGATGGTCTTAAACGGTAACACACGCACACTCTTTCTCTTTCTTTATATTTATATAGATTGTGCTGAATATTTGAAAAAAAATTATGGTATTTTTTTTAATTTTTTGGGTTATGTCCATCTCTGAAAGTCTGCTTGGACTCTGATTAATGGAGTCAGAGTTCGGATTTATGCCATCCAATTCCATCGGAGTCGAAGCCCACCTACCCTAGGCATGAACAATAATGATAGAGTGATGGTACTTAGACCTAATTGATTAAACTAATAAATTAATATTATTGGATAGATAGTAGATTCTAATATTGATTAGCCTCGACCAGTTCATTGATTGTTATACATTAGATTAATAAATTAATTTAACTAATTACGTATAAATTAGACTCTTCATAACGTAAGCAACTACAACAAATTTTGAGTTTGATTGGGCTAGCCCAACCTGTTGGAGTAGGCCCAAACACTAGAGAGAGAGAGATGCTCATGGATCAAAATTGTTTAAATGCGCTCATTCCCGCTCAGACCAATCCACTCTCCATTCTCTCTCTCTCTGCTGGAACACGCGTACAATTCATATGTAATGGAAGAAGGATCCACAGAAGTCCTCTCAGTCTCCGAGCTCGTCCGACGATCTCGCCCACTCACCGGCGGATCATCGGTCCTTCCCAGCCGTTCGATCTCTTCTTCAGAACCTTCCAATGAACCTAAAAAACCCTCCGGTCCCACAAACCCCAAAAACCCTAACTCGAAAATCCTCAAATCTCTGAACCACCCAACAATCCTCGTTGGAACCCTAACCCTACCTTCTCACAACAACAGTAGCACTTCGAATTCAACTCTTCACTGCTCAAATACCAGTTGTTTTTCATTCTCCGATGGCACAGCCACCGTTTGCTGTGACCTTATTGATCATCATCCTCGAATTATAGGAAAAGTGATGCATGTTCTTGCTTGGAATTTTATTCCTTTCAAATGTGGAGGTGGGTTTTTGGAAATTATCCGGTGGAGTGTTCTGGAATCTTCTTGTGGACCCGAAGCATTTGCTTTGTTTTCAGGTTCATGTACTGACTGTAAAGATATTCCCAAATCTCACTATTACACTCACGGTTCATTACAATCGGTTAGCCCTCTTTCCGTTGTTCCGTGTACAATTCGGGGGACGTGTTCTGGGTCCAATTCTGGTGGTTCAAGAAATATTTGTGGTTTTCTTGTGAATATCTTGGTTTGTGAGTGCAAATTGTGCCACTCAAAAGATTCTGAAAGGGTATTGAAAGATTTACGTGAACAGAAAAATAATAGTCATTGTTTTGAGAAACCTGTGATTGTCTACTTCTGTGGGTCGGCTTCATCATGGCATCCAGTAATTTCCAAATTGATTGGGTGTGTCGTTTTGGTATCAGGTTTGAAGAAGAAATTAATTTATATGGAGAAAGGGGAGTCTCAGTTGATGTATGTGACCACAGAGAAAGCTTTGTTGCATCTTTCTAAGTTTCCAAATCAGCGGCTTCCAATTCCAAAGACTGTTATTAAAGGTAGGGGAGAGGTGGGTGGATATGTTGGCACAGTTACAGGCATTTATATGCATGGCATGGTTGTGGAGCTGGATCAAGAAGTAATGCTGTTACTAACAGACCCGCAACTCACTGTGCCACATAGTGTGAGAGTGGGTGCTATTGTATGTGAAGTAACTTTTCTAACTTTGTTTCCCTTGAGTTCATTTGGATAAATTTAGGGGCTGTACTCCATGAGTGGAGCAGGTGTTAGATTTCATAAACACTGCGGGTGTATGTGCTATTTTTTCCTAATGGATGGCTCCTTTGCAGGTATCGGTGAGAAATGTCCATTTTGTGAATCCCAGATTTTCTTGGACAAAAATACTTATACTTGGTGCTTGCATGAAAACTAGCATGTATGTGCAATCATTCTCCCCGATGGTAACTGGGTTAGTGTTTCCAAACTAAATTTTGGCCTCTTTGTCATCTTGAGAATATCTGTATACTGTCTTTTCCTGTTTTAACATTTAATTTCATGCATTATATGCCGCAGGTGCCATATTGGTTCACAATCGCAGAGCCTTTTAGGGAAATTTATTGACTCCGTGGTATTTTCTGCAAGACTTTGGTATGAGAGTAAAGGATATTGCTAGATTTTGTTCACAGTTTTTGACATTCTTTTCTTTTTTTTTTTTTTTTGACTCAAAATGCTTTTCTTTCAGGGTATTACTTGTCATCTCATGTTTTAGGAAAAAGTTTGCGGGTATATTGTCTGAGAAGGAGATCTTAGGATCAAAACATGTAATTTGCTTGCTTTTGATCTTAATGCCTTCATTTGCATTGTTTATTCTTTGAAGCCTGTTGTTCCATCCTTTACTGTATCATATTATGCTGAGCTGATGTGGACAGTTGCAAGGTGTTACCAGAAGGAAGGATTGGCTCAAAAATTTGCTAGATCTCATTTACCACTGTCAAACTTCCATGTTCGGGTAATTCAAGAAGCTTGCTTTGGATCAAATGAGAATGTGTTTATTGTTTTCTATTTGGTTCTTACCTTCTGTAATCTGTTTCTTTTGGCAGCATGGAGTATTTATGGAATACTGTAAGCATGATTCATGTGGCTGTGGCAATGAATTGAGTTATGGTCACTTGAAATTGGTTAGTTTTGGGGCTATACGATGTAAATCTTACAGCTAGCTGGGATTGTTTTACCTTAGTAAAGAATAAAATTTGGTGTTCGTGCCATTCTTTCAGGCAGTACCCATCTCTAATTTCATCAGTCACTGCGACACCTCCTGGACAAAATTGTTGCTAGAATGGGAGACTGATTTGGATTTAATAGGTGATGACAATCTATATTGCCCTATATCCTGTGAAGGGAGAACTTATGGTCCGTCAATTAGAAGGATTTTGCATGGTGAAAATAATGTTGTTTTGCTTGGAAAATTAGAGGTTAGTAGTTCTTTTCTGATTTTGTATATAGAGTTTAATAAAGTTCTATGCATTTCTCCAGTTCTCTGAGCTTGCTATGTGATATACTGAGATTCAAATTGAGTGTGCATATGCTAGTAAAGTATGTAGTACATCTATGTTTGGTCAACACTAGCAGTGCAGAACATAGATAAGGAGATGGAGTACAAATGTAACTGAAAATTTCAGCCTATGGCAGGATAGGATACTGTAGTGCTAAAATGATTTCCAAATTCTTGGTACTTCCATCGATCTAGAAATAGAAGGTCATGACTCATGCTTAACTTGAACCTTGTAATCCTTACTCCGATAAATGCAAAAACTAAGCAAGTGATGATGTTCTGTGATAAGTTCTGATCTTGGGAATGTACTTATTATTAGATTTCCCCATCTTCCGGGAGGTTACAGTTGATTGATGCAACTGGTAGCATTGATGTTGTTATACCAGACCTTTCATCAAGTTGGAATATCAACAGCATATATGAGGTGATGCTATATTTTCCCTTTCTATCCTCTGTCATGTGGCTCCTGGACTTTGATTGAAGTTGCAAGGCTTTTCTATGACAGAACCTTCTGCTATGCTTTTTTAGGTAAATGACTTCACTGTTGTAATGGAAGGCATACCTGAGAAAGTCAACCATTTGGGTTCGACCTTGAAGGAATCATTTTCATGCAGAAATATATTTAACAGTGTTCACTTGGTGAGAGTTATAAAGTTAACAAGTTATCTATACTACCATTTAAGAGATCAAAGTTCTAGAAGCTTTCCTTTCTATCCTTACATGGATGGAAAGGGACATTTTGAGGAGCTTAAAAGTGGAAGATTTCACCTGCTCTGGATAACGCACAAATTTCCTGTGCTACAAAAGGTACAGTTTTGTTGCAAACACTAGATTGAAAAATATGGTTGGGATAGGCATTCTTTCTCATAAATTTCTTCATTCATATACATGTTTTCTCAGTTTCAAGGTGATCAAGTTATTTCAAACAGGTCAAGCATACACGCTGAGGCCATAATCCTTCCCTGGGACTTGTTTCTTGCTGAGAAAGATAGAGATGCATGTCCAAGTAAGCTTTCTGCGGGACACTCGAGACAACCCGCAGAAGGTTATGCAAGTATATATTATGAGGAATGTGTTGCTCACAAGAGATGCAAAATCGATAGGGCATCTGGTGGGGCACTGAGCTGCGGCTTAAGAGAGACAAGAAATGGATCATGGTGCCGGATGAATTGTTGCTCAAGTGCTTGCAAGATATGTCAAGAGGAGTTGAAATGTTGTGATTTGAGGTCTCCGTGCGAACTTCCATGCTTCGTTACTTGTAGAGATGTTAATGGTCCCAGTCCCATTGGTTCAGGAATCTTGCATTGCACAAAAACTAATTTAAAGGTTAATTCTGGTTGCAATTTGAATGGATTGAAGGTATTACTGGAGTTTCACCCCGAAAGCTTTTGCAAGTATGAGGTGCGCTTCTATCCTTTTAACATTGTGTTTTGTGTTTCTACTGCCAGTGTAACCGAAGCTGTCTTTGTCTTCATCTAAATTGCAGTTATTGAGGATTGGTGGCTATTACCTCATAAAGCCGCATAAGGAAGATCCATTATGTGCATCTGAGGACTTCAATGATGTCAGTGGTGGTAGAATAGTTATCACTTCTAGAACTAATCTGTGGAGCCTTTCATTCTCTTCTGATGAGGTTTTCCCTAGTGTAGATCCATCACATGTTTCTTCATTCCACAGTTCATTTGTCAGCAGTAAGGAGTTTCTATCTGAAGGTTCTCATAGAAATGATTCTCCATTGCTAAGATTTAACAGTGGATGCCCTGAAATCTGTTCAGATATCTCTCTCTCTCTGTCGTCTGATGTTCTAAGTCTTGTCGAGATAGATCTTAAGTCGTTGGAAGAAGGTCTAATCAAGCCATCTGTCTCACTTGAGGGGGTGGATAACATTTCTCGGGGCATTGGGAGTATGATGACTACGTCTGTGCAATCTTCTGGAACATATGATGCCTATTGCCATTTGCCTGAGGGAAATCTAATATCTTTGCATGGACACGTGTTGGCTGTTCATAATTTGGAGCACAGTTCTCCAGCATCACATTTGAGCCAAAAGAGTCCCAGTGATGTTCAGCGACCAAATTTCTTTCAAAGATTAACCAGCAGTATTTGTATCCATGTTTTGGTTGACCTTCACGTTGTAATTGCCAGCTTTCTTCTTATCCTTCATTCTGTGTTTTTAATTTTAGGTAGTTGCAGTTGCTTATGTCATTGTTCAACTGATTAGGTGAAAATTCTTGGTGACTTGAGTCTACATCCATATCCGATTGGATTTGGACCTGGTGTAAATGCAACCTTCCACCGAATACTTGTATTGGGGTACGTACTTTTCAATGCATGTGGCCAAGTTTTGTGCTTAACACTTACCATTTAGCACTTAGTTGCCCTCTCTTTCTTTCTTTTTTTCTTTCCCTTTGAAATATATGGATTGTCACCAATTGTACAAAATTTTCAAAGCAGCCCTGGTGCTTAATTTTCAAACACGGTTGTCAAAACAAATATCAATGTTGATGTAGACAAAATTTTAATCTGTGTAAGAAAGTTGTTAGTTTCTCAATTTTGAAGGAACTGTTATCTAGTGTACACCTATTAACCCGGCCATCTATTATACTTTTTACAGTCAATGACATAATTATGGACAGTTTTTCGGTAGAGGTCATGTTGCAAAGAAAGTGAAGTTTCTTGATTGATGTATTTACTCACTATGATTGTGAGAGCAATAAGTGGGGAATGAGTTTGTAGCAAGCTTAGCATGTATTGAAGCCATAAAAGATATGTGCTTGTCCATTCATATATGCCTGAACATTACCATAGAATCCTTCTTTCTTAAGGAGGGTCCTGATATAAGAATTTCGATTTTGCTTGTCGAATCATGTATGAAATGTATCAATGACCCAATGTGTTCAAGCTCATGCAGTAATTGGCATGCCTGTATTGCCAGCTTTCAGTTGTTTCACTGTGCTATACGTGGGTTTATCAGATTATTCTAAATTCGGTTATAATTTATCCATTGGTTCCCTTAAAGATGTATACTAATTAATTTGAGTAAACTTCAATATTTTCATCAGGCAGAAAGAACTTATGTTGACACCTGCATCTTTCATTGTACTCAACTCGATACAGACAGTCAATGACCGATATATTCTTGAGTGCAATAATTCATCAGCTGCTTCAGGCTTGCACACGGCTTACACTCTGGATACAGTTCCTGCAGCCCTGATATCTGAAATACTGCATAGCTTGGAGCATAAAACAGTGCAATTCCACTGCAGGGTAAGTCATGCTCTACGTTTAAATTATCATGCTCTACAAAGTGGATGGACTTATCTTTTTATTAGGTTTCTCTCTCAATTGTTCCGAAATGGATAATGTCTATCTCAGACACCAATTTGTATTGTGTTTTCTTGGTTCTTACGTTTTAGCTTTTGGTAATATTCGCAGGTTGTGGCTGTTTATGTCCTGGTGCTGGAGAAGAATAACAAAGTTGTATATTCCCACCCAAACATTCAATCCAGATCACCTGTGATAAATATTTCTCTTGCCGGTTTTGTATTGGGTACGTTTTGTATCATGCCATCAGAGTAAAATCAAATTGAGTGCCTTAAGTTTATGCTCCTGCTTTTTTATTTACTATTTGTACTTCTTTTCATATGGTGGAGTTTGAATCCTTCTCCATCTACAAGTAGCAGTGTTTTAAGTTTCATCGAATAAATGGTCTGTTTGCTCGACATTAAAAGCTTTGTATCATGATTGGCTTTTCCCCATTTATCATCTCTTCTGCCTACGCATCCCATCACTTGCACTTTAGTGATCCCACCTTGTTCATGATCTCTGTGGAGCCCTCAGATGATTGAATTTGTCTGATGTGCTAATTTTATTGTCAATGGCACTGAGCTATTAGATTGTTTTCCTCATTCAAGCCTTTGAGAATATTTGTTTTCCATTTGCCTCTGCAGATGATGGGTCATCCTTGTGTTGTTGCTGGGCTGATAAGGACAGGGCAGCGACATTGCTAAGGCTACATGATGAAAATTCAGTCGGTGATATGGATAAAATTTTCAAGCAACATGGGCAAATTGTAGTGAGAAACTTTGGATCCCTATTTGATTCTTCATGTCAGGACCTTACATTTTCTGGCGGTTCAGAAAATGTTATTAGCAGCTCGGATGAGGACCTCCTCAGGTTCATTTTACTTGATGCTTGCTTCAGCAGCTTCTGGGTAAGTTACAAAGTAGGCATAAATGTTTAAAGAGGAAACACCCATTTTCATTCAGCCAAAAGTACAAATAATTCATCAATGTGTATAATGACCACTTAGGGTTAAATGATCTTTTAGAGGTGAGGGATGGTCATGTGTAGTATTTACCAAGTGTCTATGCTTATAGCAGCAGAGATTTAGTTCTTTATTGAAGATAAGATATAGCTGTTTATATGCCAAGGAAACACTTACAAAATCAATGAAATGGTTGCCCCCCAATTGCCTTCATCCTAAGTGCTCCTTTCCTTCAATAGATGTCTCCACTTCATACATCCACTGATGTTGTGGATAGAACTCCCCACCACATGGTTTGTTTACACCTTGAGCATTCCTAGGACACCCAAGAATCTCGAGCACTCCTAGCACACTCTTTAAGTGGGTTTGGTAGAACCAAGTAAGTTCTTCTCCAATATGTGATGTTGGATAGGAATCACAAGATGTGTTTTGACTTTTTGGATTTAGGGATCTAAGTTTGCTCACAAGCTTTGATATGTGGAAAATACTCACACGAGGCTTCCCTAGCATAGGAAGACACCCTCTATTTATAGATTCAGAATAGAGTTTGTCTTGAGGATCAAGAAAACACAAATTCGCAAATAACCGCATGGGCCACCACCTCCGCCTTCAGGCCCTCCTCTCATTTGCCCTTGCCAATTCTAAATGTGGCATCATTTTTAATAAGGAACTTGTTTCCTTGTCTCTGCTTTTGTCTTGACAGACCGTTGTTGGTAGTCTGATGGATTTACACGCTGTTGGACAATTAGAGAGACGCTTAGTGGAACTGGAGATGACATTGCATCCATTGCAAAATATATGGGCCACAGAAGTTTATCACACCAACGCTCTCAGTAAAGCAAGGAAATCAATTCAAGAATTGCTGAATAGGTAGCTGATGTAAAGGATCATTTTCCAGTGCTGCTCCCCATTAATCGAAGGTATTTGGTGTCAAATGACTATTTTTTTATTTGGTATAGGTTTGGGTTTCATCATCTGTGCATGTGCCATCTTCAACAAGACTGCAGAATAATATGATGACTTGCATTTGTTGTATTTCCATGATTTACTAATTTTATGTTGTATATATATGCCTATTAGGACTATTTAGTAATTTTTGAATCTACCAAACACGCCCCCTCATCCCCCCCCTCCCTCCCCCCCCAACAAATAGGGTTGTCAACGGATTGAATCCAGATCTGAATTTGATAAAAAAACCTGAGTTCTAATTTTGATCTATTTACCTTACGGATTTCAAAATCTTAATCCATGTCTGTATCTATTAATAATAATCGGATATCCGATCCAATTTAAAATTTTGAATTACAACAAAATTTTATAAATAAGTAATAATTTTGCAACTAAATATGTATGTATATACAATAATTTATCTCAAGTAAATATGTATGTATTGGTTTTTTTTTGGATTAGATTTACATATCCCCAAATTTGTTTAAAAAAAATTAATCAGATTTTATTAAACAGATGCAAATATTAATCCGTATCTTTTGATCAAAATCTGCCCTAGGCTTATCCCCACACTTAAAAAAAGAACCAAATGTTTTATTAAAAAAAGGCACGTGATGTGCACCTATTTTTCTGTTTTTGATTGTTTCTGTCTAATACATTGTTTACAAGTTTTTGATCTCTTGGGTTTTTCTACAGGAGGAGCTGTACACACGACTTGGGAACCAAGTGCCACCAGTTCTAGATTATTTTTTTGGTTCAAAGGTCAGGGGTGTCCAAGTCAATAGAATTAGATTCAGATTCAGTGCCTATTGTTGGTTGATCATAAAATAAAACTATTGACGTATTGATCATCATCATGTACAAAAACTTCTTATTTCTTGTGTGTTTTTTCCAGCTTCAGTCCAACAAAATTGAAAACAACCCACCATGTTTTCATGAAGATCATAGAATAATGCAGGAGTTAATGCCCCTTAAGTACATACATATTAGATCAGAATGACTGTTAAGTCTCTAAAGGGGGTTGTTTTCTGACAATGCGTTCAGGAGGAAGCAGAAAATATTATGCTGTCAAACTGAAGCCTGTGGGTTAGCATGTTCAGTCTGCTACGATGGCGGTATAAGCAGAAAGAAATATAAAATAGCCACCAAATCTAGTGAATTTTGGCACAAGAATCACATGTAGCAAGTATACTAACAATTTTTTCACAATTTATGAAAATTATTTTAACATTCCATCTATAAATTAAAAAACAAATGAAAACTGTGACTAGTGAAATCCTCCTGCAGATAAATCTAGCATTGGAAAAAAAAAAATGAATCCCTTTGTCGGCCAAAAACATGCATCCTTCACAGATTGATGTATCAAGTATAAGCAGAATGTTTCAGGAACATACTAATGGAAGTAAAGCAAGTAATGAGCACACCCCTTCTGAGTTAGTGACTCTAAAATATCTATTTAAGCCAAAATCTAATGCATTGCAATTCAAAAACATGTACCACATGGACTTACAAGGATGATGATCTCTTTTTGTTGGTCTAAAGACTACACATAAAACTGAAATCTATTATTTTGTACTCATTGGGGACGTTTCATCTTGAGCAGATGAGAAACGCTTGCCACTACATGCAGACGACTGCTTGGAACACCAGTTTTTGCAAGCGCTCTCCCGTATTTGTCCAGCAAAACAAAGCAAGGAACATACTTTATGTCATAATGGAGGAGCTGCATGGACATCACTTAAATAAATCAGACAGAGCATTATTAGTCTTGCAAAAGAGAAATACAATCATAGAGAAACCAGGTTCTTAGGACTTACGATGGGGTAAACATAGGAAGCTATAACACACTAGGAATTATATAAATGAACAAACATCAACTAGTTTGGTTCAGCCAACTCAACAAGCTAAATTTGATGACCTTGACCCTTAATAACCGAGGTTTTCTCGGTGCAGCACATAGACAGGTACAGGCATACATCAGAGGATATTATAATGCAAAAGCCTTACATCCAAAGGAAACTAGTGTGGTGTGAAGCTCTCATCGCGTCCACAAAATGAACCTAAATAAAAATATAGTTAACAAGACCAATAATTTGAAAATCATTAAAAGGAATAATAACCGACATGGCCACTTGATTAATGCATATATCTTTTTGAGCACAAGGTAGCGGTTGGAGATTTCATAAACATGAACTATTAGGGGAAAAAGTGTGTACAAGAGATATAATCGATCAACTAGGCTCAAGACACGCCCAAAGGCCTTTCATGCTAATTCTCAACCTAGCAGTCTAAAAAATAACAGCTCGTATGGTTTAGGTGTGTGAATAGACAAACGAAAAAAATCTGATTCAACTCATCATTTGTGTCTTCTCATACCAAATCTTGGAGAAGATTTTTGTCCCATTGCTTTCCTATGAGAATGTGTTACATATCCTTGGAACATTTCTGGTAGTGCAAGTTTGGCATGAGCTAGTTCCATGGAATATTCATCCATGAATCCGAGTCATTGGAGACCAAAATATTCCTTCCATCTGCTTCATCAAGCTCATCTTCTTGTCCTTCAGTGTTGTTTTCTTCTGCTACCATCTGGCTTTGAAAAACATCTTGTTTGGTATTAGTTGGCTGCTCAAAATTCTGAGTTGAGGACTGTGCAGTGTCCTGGGTTGTAAGGTTTGGCTCAAGCTGACAAGCACCATCTTTGACTAGAGAACGAGGCATCTTTAGCTAACCTGGTGCAAAAATCAGAATTGCCATCATCTTGTAGTGCTTCAAATTGATTTCCAGATTGGATTTTTGAGCTACATGATAGTGAGTGATCTCTAAGCACAACTTTTCCTAGGTCTGATGCATGAAGGAATGTTTGTTTCTTATCAGTTGTCGTCAAAGTTCCTCTAATGTTATGCTCCTTGAGAATAAGTTGACTTTGATTTGCAGTTCCCATGGCATAAATTCCACTGCTAGATGGCAATGCTTCATCTCCTTTCTTCCTCCAAACTCCTTTGCCATTAGGGTTAAGGTTATGATGTGGCTGCATAAAATTGATCCCTTGGTTTTGCATATTCTTCTTTGTTTGTTTCTTGCGTTGGACTAGAATCCATGGACCAAAGTCATCTTCACTGTCATTGTGAAGTTTCTGATTTTGCCCCTGCTGATTTTGGGAAAGCATCTATTTTAATGCTACAAGCTTCACTATCGTGACCAAGATGGCCACAAGTAACACATATCCTCTTAAGATCTTCATAAAAAACCCATTGCTTATGTTTACCGATGAAAACATGTGAGACTAGAGGCATGGAAGTACTAATTCAAACACATAACCTTGCAACTGTTCTAGCATCGATCTTTATCAACTTACCAATCATCAGCCCTATTTTCTTAAGAATAAGAGAATCATAATACTCAATTGGTAGACTAGGCAGCCGAACCCATGATACCGTAGTGTTGGCCGCTTCAACTAATGGTTGAAAATCAGGTTCCCATTGCCTAACACTTATGAAATGGTGCCCAAGGAACCATGAACATCCGCTAAGTATCCTTGTGGCATCTCCTAACGACTGGAATCGAGCAATGTAGTAGCCTTCATCTAGAGCTATACATTCCATTCTATCCTTAGTCCTCCATAAAGTGGCCAATTTCTCAATGAGGTAATCATAACTATATGTGTGTTCATAGGTTTTGAGGATGATAGAATTTGCCCAAGGATGCTGAATTCTCACTTTATCTTCTTTGGATAAATTGATTTTGGGGTTTCTTGAATCTTCCCTAAATTTTTCCGAGTCCAAGTCTTCACTTTGCAGTGATGTAGCACAAAACTCCTCCATAGTTTCTGTGGCCAAAGTATCTTTGTAGGAGAGTTGGGAGGTGGGTGTTTCAGTATGGTTTGTGTTGATGATAACTTGGTTAGGATGTTGGGTGTGAGAGAATTTTGTAGGGACTTAATGTATTGGTGGAGGGGGATAATCTGAGTTTATGGATGGGGGAATGTGAAGGTTTTGGTATAGGGTTGAGTTGTGGGAATGGGAACGGTCTTGCGTCTTGGTCTGGTGGCTTGTCTGCCGCATAGGTGTCCATGGTTGAGTGGTTTCTGTTTTTTTTTTTACATGAGCTTTTAATCAAACAGTTGGTGTGCTATTAGTGCTGGAGGCATCACACGAGCTTTTTTTTTTTTTTTTTTGGGGGGGAGGACAAATGTATATGCACAAAATGGGGGAATAGAGAGAGGAAATGAGAAGAGAGTTTCTCCAGCTGTTGAGTTGAAGTAATGGGTTCTGGTTTATAGGCCCACTGGTTATTGAAGGTAAAGGTTGTAGTTGGTTTGGAGTTGAGTGTGTAGTCGGCTTTGAAGATAAGGTGGTAGGAGGCGACAATGGGATAGTAATACAGGAGAAAGGAACACTGGAGGGAAATGAGCATGGTGCTAGGAAGAATCGCCACTGTGGGCGAGAGAGGAGACCACACATCAGTATCCTTAACCATTGCAATTCCTAAAACGAAGGGTTATCTAATCCTATTGCCGGAACCTATGAACTAGACTTGAACACATTCAATCAAAACCCTGGTTTTATCAATCAACGTGGACTGACGAAGGGATCAGAGATGCTTTATACGTAATCAAAAGAATCTTCTATCCATCCACATAAATCACAGACAAAACAGGTTCAATCAGAAAATTGGAACAGTAAACAAATACTTTTTGTTTAATGAGGAGTGAGTGTAGGTACCTCAGGCAACCATTTCTCGTTCTCCGCATCTGCCATGACAATATTGAGCCAGTCGGAATTCCTAGCTTCTACTTCCAAGACAAAACTAAGCAACGAATTGCAGAGGCTGCACTTGGGCGAGTAGAATTCAATAACAGTGGCCTCTTTCCCACTTGTCAGTGCAGATGCTAAAGCTCTGTGTTCTGCCTCTCCTTGTTCTTCAGGAGTCAAGCCCTTCTTCTTCCTCTTCAACAAGCTGTTTGTTTGGCCCATTTTCGCATCTACTTGGAATGGGGTTTTCATCCATGGATTTCGAGAGTGGGAAACGGAGTTGACAAATTGGAAAGCTATAGAGCCAAGATTTTTAAATGATGTAAAAAGCCAAGGAGCCTCAAAGTTGCAGGTATTCGGGTTACTAGGGTTCTGATGAACAATATCCCATGGCCATTTTAAGCAAAACAGAGGGGGTTTGGGAAGAGAACCCATGAAATCCCCTACGAGATCTCATAAATTTCTGCAGTGACTGTCAACGACCTGCAATGGAAAATCACTGTATCTTCGGTACTTTACAGTTATAGGCAAAGCAATGCAATGTGCGTACATAACCGAAATTCTATACAAGGCCGGCCCATATGTAAAGTCACTTTACCACGGGCTTTAGGCCAACATAGTCCATACCAAAAATTTAAACTTATAAAAATTAAGTTAAAAAAAAAACTCATTTAATGATCAAGTATTATTCTAAGGCACTCAGAATTTCACTAAATGAGGAGATTATAGTATAGGTTTTTTTTTGCCTCCTGTGTTCATATGTAGATGAATTAAAATTGTTGGTAGTGTGCTAGTTTGTTACATAAAAAGAAGAAATTAATATTATTTTGGTAGTGGAAAAACAATAACTTGAGCAATTTAAGCCTAATTTATTGTTTTGTTTTAATTGATTACTGCTCTTGGATTGATAACCAATATTGAGACTTACAATAAATTTAATAATATTAATGAATTAAATTTAGTAATATGAGGCGAGCAAATCCAACTTTCATCTGGTAATCTTGCAAATGAGAAACAGAAACGCCGTTGGTGGACCGTTAAACTCTTCTAGACAGTCTACCAACCCATAATTCAGTTGTTTTAACTGACTTTAATGGTGTAGTAATCATAGTCATGCCATGTAATTCTTGGTCTTAAAGGAAATAATTAAACGCCTTTGACAAAGTTAAGTCGTCAATCTATGAAATTACGACTATACCCACCTGTGATATGACTTTGCTACCTCAATAAACAAGAGCAGAAAATATTTAGAAATTATCGCGTATCATGTGACGATGCCAGACGAAACTCACACCTCATAAAAAACACTATCACAAAAATTACTTCGTCAAACAGACATGAAAATGTACAAATTTTTTTATGTGTAAATAATATTTTGTGCCTTGTATACAAAATAGCATCTATGATGTACACCACCTGCCAAACATTGGGCATTAATGCAGTATAGTTTACATAGTTTTTGATGAAGAGTGAGGCTTGACACAAGTTCAAGTTACAATTATAGTCGAGCAATGCTATTGGAATAATAGTCCCTCTCTATACATTAAAATACTGTGTTCATTTGGTTCTGCTAGACAAATAGTCAGAGGTAAACCACAGTGGAGGTTTGAGGCATAAAACTTTGACTTGAACAAAATGCTTTGGAATTTACATTTTTCCTTGTTTTACCAAACAAACGGAGAAAAGATTCCTGTGGTACACTGGCACTGTGGTCAGTCATCATCGGGACCATGTTGCCAAAAACCCCCTATATAAACCCTACAAACTACCCCATCTATATATTGGCACCATTACCTCATTGCATATCTATATATCTTCGTTTTCCCTCGGTCCAAATCCAAGAACATGAAGAAGATGGCAGCTTTTGGTTATGCACAGGTACTTGTTCTTCTTGCAATTGCTTGCATGGTGACTGTTTGCCAGGGCCAGGCAGAGACCATTGTCGTTGGAGGATCTGAGAACTGGCGCTTCGGCTTTAACTACACCGACTGGGCTCTCAAACGTGCTCCTTTCTACATAAATGATACTCTAGGTCAGTTGCATTATTTCCATGCACAATATGATAGTAATGACTAATGAGTTAGAATTAACTAGTTTTCAACAAATTTAAGAACGACACAATACATCTATTACAAGCATGTCAAAATAGCGTCAAATACGGACAAAAAACCCAGCCTCCACACGAAAAATTCGTTTCGCTAGTTATGTTATGATGTTAGTTGTATATGGTTATTGTGATCTTGTAGTATTCAGATATGATCCGCCAAGCAACACCACCCCTGCTGCACATAGCGTGTACTTGCTGCCAAACCTGTGGAGCTACTTAACGTGCGATCTTCGGTGGGCAAAACTGCTGGCAAATTCGACACAAGGAAGTGGCGATGGATTCGCATTTGTGCTGAGCCAGTGGAGGGTTTACTACTTTGCTAGCGGTGAGGGCAACAAACTCAATGACTGCAGGGTCGGGGGGATGAAGTTCTTCGCCATTCCTTTGCCCCGTCGTCGTCGTGCTTGATGTAATGTTACTGGACCATGTCATTACAGAATGGACGCTGCTTACTATTTCAGTTCAGTTTCATGGTGATATTAATAAGCCAATCTTTTGGCAGGATAGTCAATTATGTTCCAAACTTTTTTTTTTTTCGAAAAATTTATGTTTTTCGAAAAGTGGTGTGTGATATATACACATATATACTTATATACATGTATGTTTGTTGCTGATTTACATGTAAACAAATAAAAGTAAAGTTTCTGCCTTTATTTAGAAATTTCGTTTGTGTTATAAATAGTGTGTATGATGTGGATGACTATTATACACAAATAGTAACACATAGTACCAAATAGTGTTTTAAATGACACTGATACATGAGTAGAAGATGGATGACTACCACTAATGTCTATTTATAATTGCACTCCTGCGGATAGTGCAATAGAGTTATTTTGCCTATAAACAAGCCTTTCAATTTTAAACGAAGAACTCACTGAATAAAATGTCTCTCTCTCTCTCTCTCTGTACTGTTTCTATCCTTCCATTTGTTTTGTTTGTTGCACCTACATTAATTTGCTAGTTTTATAACATTTTGTTAATTTTATTGTTTTGGCTGTCATCTTCGTATTGAGTTCATGTTAAGTGAAGTGAAATGGTATGAAAATAATAATAATGGGTTGGAAAAGGTTGAAACATTGGAACAGAAATAAGATTGTACTCCATTTATAGGGTCCAAGTCCTACAAAACGCTATATATGGGTTAGCTCTTTCAGAAAATTGTCCACATTCAAAGGCTACAGTTTCAAATGTTAAAGACAATTCGCACCCTTTACGAGAGAATCACAGTGTAGAAGCTTACAGTTTTAAAAATTTGTATCTCCTCTGTTAGTCTTACCCTTGGGCACATGAGAGTCTCAACATATCTCTTTAATTCAAATCTTAGATAACACTAGTATGTGTATATATATATATATTTAATTAATTTTTTATATTTAATCGACGTGGGATTAATTCCCACACATAAAAAACACTTTTTTAATTAAAATATTTTAACACATTAAATCAGAAATAAGATTGTACTCCATTTATAGGGTCCAAGTCCTACAAAACGCTATATATGGGTTAGCTCTTTCGGAGAATTAGAATGAGTTTAACACAAGAGTTACTACTCGTGCGTACAACTCATAAAAAATTGTCACAAAATTAACTTATAGTACACATAAGTTCATTTTTTTTTAAAAAAATTAACAAAATGATAATTGACAACCATCCATTACAAATGTATAATTTTTTTTTAATAATGTACATCGATCACATAATAATATCACGTGACTTATTAAACTGATACAAAAATTTCTCCATAATTGGCAGGGAACTTTCCGAACCACGTAAGACAGCCTCAAACAAATGAATAGAAATTTACGAGTGCCGACTTGAAAAGGGAACACGCATGCTCTTTGGGACCTGTTCTCACGTGACAAAACAAGATGCCTTCTGTCTCCTCACCATCCTCTTTCATCCGTCCAAGAAATGACTTCTTCTTGTATGATGATCGATGAGATGTCCAAAATTAAATTTTCCGAGGAAAGTAAATTATTTTGTTGATATTTCTAAACCTAACGTAAACCATACAATTTACAGCTATCGTATACAACCAAAAAGGATTCTCCGAGCAAAGTAATCTCGAGTGTAAATCAATTCTTATTTAATTTTTTTAGTTAATCGTATTAGATGTCCTAACACTAACATGATATGTTTATTATTATGATTTGTTCGTGTTAATTCATATAATCAATGAATTAAAAATCTAGCACTAAAGTTACTTTGCTTGCTTAAGTCAAGTTCGGTACACCAAATCATTACAATATCTATTTATCTCGAATAAGTTATCCTATATCGGACGGCCAATCAAAGAATGACAATTTTTTGAGGAGGAATTAATATAACTTAATATTATACTATCTAAAGGAGCGTAGGGTTTCGAGGGACTTAAGTTTTTTTTAAGGTTTAATACTTTGTGTTAGGCATCCCCCCAATATACGCTAGTTACTAACTTAGGTACCTAGCCCAGAATTCACAGAGTATTTACATATAATTTTTTTCATTGACTAAAAATTTATTTAAATTTATATAATAGCAAAAACAAGCAAAAAAAAAAAAAAAAAAACTCCATTAAATACAATAATCCTTGTCAATATGAGTGTATCATGCCTCCTTAGGATTATGCATGTTCAACATTAACTTAACTCATTTGTCATGCATGATAATATGTCATGTCATTTTCAAATTGATTTTGAAAATTAGTTAACCCTAGTATATTCGTGTCTAATTTTATCACTGTTACTCCAAGTACGAGGATAAATAAAATGAATGCATGCTTCAGTGGCGCATGCGATGACAAATCTGTGAGAGGTGCTTACTAACAGAAATTAGTCACACTAAATATTTTTCAAAAAACAATTGGAAAACTGCATAAAAGAAATTAATGTTCAAATGTAGCAAAATCATAACACCAATAAAATTCTTTTTTTCTCTTTTACTTAAGAGAAGAAAAATGACTTCTTCTTCTTCTTTTTTTTCGTTATAGAACAAACGATTTCAAATATCGAATAATTGGTTTTGAATTTTTTATTCATGAAAACTATCTACAAAAATAATTAGATGACATAACTGCAACGTTATCAATTGATAGTGAAAGAATGAAATCCGAGTACATACCAACACATATTATGGATAGATAGATAGAGATCGCAATATAAACGATTATCTCCTCTAAATACAAGAAAATTCTCTTTAAAAAGTAATTTTGTACCATCTATTAGAGTCCAATAAGTTATTATATTCTTATAGATATTTCTCTTTCTAACCAAACCAAATAATTAGCAGGACACACTCCTCATGTAGCTCATCAACTTCCATTTGTAAAAGTTAATGGAATGACAGCTAAAATTTGCACCCATTAGATCAATTACCAAGTACTTTTTTTTTTTGATCATCAAGTACTTTAGGTACACAACTTTAGTAAGTAGGGTCACACGAATATTCTTTGTTTGGCAATTTTTTGTGGAGATCAAGTATTTGTAATTCACTAATCTACATCAACATCAAAATTCCAGCCAGGCCACAAAACCTTTGGGGCTTTAATTGAAAGATTAGTACCTTAGGAAAAACAATGGTACTTTTCCAGGAAAATAAAAAAACACGGGTGAATTTATGTTATAAACTTCTTGTCCCGACTGAAGAAAAATCAATATTTTTTTTCAATAAAATCTTAGAAACCCGTAGGAATAGATTATACTTAGAAGATGAGAATAAATATTTACAATAGATTAATTAAACCAGAAGGTGATTAATTAATACCTTTGAAAAAAGACAGATTAATTAATTCCTAAAAAAACAGAAAAGGACAGGGAGATTTTAACAAGCAACGAACACATTTAACGTTAATGAAACCCCGAGGAAGCATCCGAGAACGACGTCGTCACGCACTGTCTCACCTCCTTTGCAATCACATCCCTCATCACATCCCAAAACCCCGCCGGAAAATTCTCGGTCTTTCTCTCCGGCAGCTCATAACCCACCACTCCCGGCGGCGCCAATGACAAAGTCGTCATTGGGTCAAAATTATCAGAATCGGAGAAAGTCCGATCAGCCACTCTAATATTATCAGAATTCATGAAAAACCCAGATCCTGATTCACTCTTCAAATCACCACCGTCCATTCTCTGACCATCTTGTTCATGGATTTGTAGATATTTTCTCTTCAACGTCGAGTTCCAATGGTTCTTGACAGCATTATCAGTCCGACCCTGAAGCAACCGGGCAATGGTGGCCCACCGGTTACCATACTTAGCATGAGCGGCCAAGATGATCTCGTCCTCCGCCGGAGAGAACGGACGGTGCTCCACATTTGGGCTGAGCTGGTTGCACCACCGGAGCCGGCAGGACTTTCCGGACCGACCCTTTATGTACTTGCTTATCAGGGTCCAGTTTCGCGCCCCGTATCGGTCCACAAGGCGGGTCAGAATCTTGTCCTCCTCTGCGCTCCAAGGACCTCTGATTCTCTCTGGTTTGTCTGTGTCTCTTCGTGTCTTGTTACCGGACAGTGAAGAGTCTGAGGAAGACGAACCGGATGATGAAGAAGTAAGTGATGAGCACCTGTTGAGTGCTTCCATTTCAGGAAAAAAAAAAAAGGCAATGGTCTTTAGTGAGGGAAACAGAGGGTTGTGATGTGAAGGGGTGGGGGTTGAATGTAGTTCAGAGCTGGTGGTGGCGTTGAAAGGGAAGAATGCCTTAGTGGGTCTGCAAGACTCTGTATATATAGATAGAGAGGAGTATATTTTGCTTGCAGAAACTGCAGGGAAAGAGGGGTGCCAGTTTGATCAAAAAAAAAAAAAGGGATGCCAGTTTTTTTTTTTATATTTGATGGAATTGACTTAAAATTTGTATATATTTTTAAAATTCTTACTTTCTTTCTTTTTTTTTTTTTATTAAAAAGGATGGTCAAGAGCAAGCACATAGCAACCTTTCGTGATGTTATGTTGAGATTCTCACCCACCGTAGAATGTTCAATTTGAACTATAACTACTGAGTAAGGATAATCGACGATCAAGTCTATTACCACAATACCACCACAAGTAAGTTGAACATTCAGACCATCTATTTTAAATTCTAACTTAGTTAAGTTATTTATTTGACAAATTTAGGTGTTTTTGGGGTTGTGTAGTAATAATTATATATTAAATACTTAGATTTAAATTTTTAAATTTAATTCAAATTTATGTAATTGAAATTGAATCAAAGTGGAATCAGGTTTGGGAACAGGGGGTGGAGTGGGTTTGTTCTTGGAAACTACCTAGTGTCAAGCTGGTAGGGGTTCGAACCCGAACAATGTGCACCCCATTGTAATATGTATTTGGGATTGTGTTTCTGTGAGCAGATTTTTGTCCCCATTGAGGGAATGACGATTTTGGCAATTTCTAGAAGTTTCCGTAAGTTAGCATTGGACTTAAATTACTTGAAAATCT